GGATTTGAAAAGCAGCAGGATGATGAGAACAAAGTGCTTCTGGCTTACGGGTATCTAGGGAGGATATAAACACCAATAATGGATAAACTGTGTAAGTCGGAAAGCTCCAGTAACTGTCACCAACAGACAAGGTTCACTTACCTTAGCTTTAATCTGTGAGCACAAGAGAGATTCCATTGACAGGAATATCAACAGCAACAATTCCTGGAGGATTTCCAGTACACCAGGTTCTGGGGCTGCCAGCACTGATGGGTATGAGGAATCTGATGAGGAATTTCTGTTAAGGGACAGAATATGGCTAATGCCAGCCAAGTTGTACTGGCAAACAGATCTGCTTTAGCTGTCTGGCAGGGAAAGAGCTTTGGGAAGTGTTTGTGTAGCAATGTGTGATGTGCTGAAGAAATGCTGGGCAGGTCTAATGCTGGGGGCACAGAAAACCATGACTGGTGGAGGAGTAAATGAATATCCACCCAAATGTACTGGCTCAGTCCTTGTTCATGCCATGGCTTTGAAGCCATGGGCCTTGACCAGGCACTGAGAGAGCTCAGCAAGACTTCCTTCACACCTGAGTCCAAATAGCTGCTGCTTCTCAGTCTTCTTTCAATTCAAAACCCCCAAAAGGACTACCAAGAAGGTAGCTTTAGACTGGACATAAGAAAGAATTTTTTAACAATGAGGGTGGTGAGGCACTGGCACAGGTTGCCCAGAGAATCTGTGGCTGCCCCATCCCTGGCAGTGTTCAAGGCCAGGTTGCATGGGGCTTGGAGCAACCTGGTCTAGCTGAAGATATCCCTGCCATGGCAGGGGGGTTGGACCTAGATGATTTTTAATGGTCCCTTCAAACCCAAACCTTTCTGCGATTATATGCAAGCTGTACCTAGGAAGGAACAAGTAAAAGGATTAGGATTCATGGTATGAGACCTGTCCATGGGAAAATGGGGCCTGGACCTGAGTTTCACGGGGTGCAATGCCCAGCAGTTCTGGCAGTGCACCTCCATTTCAGATCCCCACCTTTAGCTGGGGGTCCTTATCCCATTGCAGGCCTCGGTTTTGCCAAGCCTTCACCTTCCTGCCCCACATGTACAGCAGCACTGCTTCCCTTCAAATAGATGTGGCAAGCAGCAGTGCTGTCTATCCTCAGTCCCTCTCTTTCCCCTGCCCAAAGCATGGCCAGGATCCCTCCAGGTGCTGCTATCACCATTTGTACATGGCTTGGTGTGCCTTGGGGTAGATTCATATAATTCCTGCAGAAACAGTAAGCAAAACAGTGTGGGCAATTAAGTTCTGGTCAACATTTCTTCATCCTTACAGGATTTCTACTTAAGGTCGAGGAGGAAGATGGGGAGTAGTGTTCAGTCAACCCATTGCTTGTTCCAAGGCCTGACACTGAAACACGGCTTCTTCAATCACTGCCAAAGCAGGAACCTGGGGTTTTATTATCTGGGTTGTGTGTCTGGTGGTGTGGAAGGCAAGCATCCTCCTAAGGGTGCTCAGTGCTGGTGCCAGAGCCCACGCACTTTGCAGTGGCCACAGTGCTCCCCACATCCACTTGCCTCAGTGGCTTCATGCTTCTGTTGAGCTGATTTAGGTTCACATTGTGTCACAAGTGGCTGATTACATTTGCACCTCTTGTCCTGCAAAGCCCAGAGCCAGGCTCTAAAATGTCTTTGATAACTCAGTGTCTTTTACCTGACCCAGGAGAGAGGTGCTTTAGATAGAAATCTTATTAATGATGCAGTTGCAAGGCTCAGTGAAGTGGAGGCGCCTCAGAGTTCAGCTGAATAATTAAATGCCATCAATAAGACTTAACAGGGCCACTATTTAAAATTAATAACTTCAAATGCAATTCTGGCATACAATAGAACCCACTGGAATGGATTGCTGGCAATTTTACAGCCACCTGCCTCTCAGCCCCAGCTGAAGACAGCTAGGAGAGGAACTGAATATATTTCTGAATATGTTTGAGCTCCAACAAATAGGAAACTACTCCAAAACCAGCATCCATCCAGCATGCCGGTGCTCATGTTTAATGGAGTTCTAGGATGCTGACGGTTAAATCAAGAGGAAGTGAGGAAGTCCTGTTTGGAGAACCACATCTCCTCTGCCTAAGCAGGTGAGAGGACAAGGGATCATTTAGGTCTGTAACAAAAGCGGTATTTTCTGAGAAACAAAATCTTCCCTTTCCCCAGAAAGTATCTGTCTTGCTCACAACTGGCAGGTTTAACCATGGTGAATGTGGTTAAGAAGTCAAGAGACCCATCCCTGGCTGTTTGAAGTTACAGATTTGCATACCTGTGCAAATATACAGTATGATAAAATGTAAGGTCCATGGGGAAGCACTAGAGCTTTTCCCCTTGGACAGCCTCTGAGCAGCACTGGGGACATCTCTGTGGAGCATGGGTTTTCTAGCTTAGCTGCATTCATCATCTACAGGAGCTCATCAAAGTTTGACTATGTGTTGTGTGACTTCTTTCCCCCTCCTCATTACCTTGGGGAGGCATTCAGCTCCTGCTGCTTTGCATATTTTGTAATAGGGGTTTTGATAGGAAAAACTTCCTCTGCTCAGGCCAGCTCCTCCCTGGCTGTCCTTGCATGCTGTCAAAAAGATGTGTTTAATACAGGCCATGACCTCTAACAGTGGGTAAACAGAGATAAGTGCTTCTCTTCCTGGTATTTTTCAGCTGTCTGAGTCAAGCAGCTGCTTGAAGTGTCCCCAGTGGAGGGATGTGTCCAGTTGTCCCATGGGAAGCAAAAGGATAGTGCAGAGTAGCAGCCTTGCAGGTTACACTTGCTGCAGATCACAGAGCAACAGGAAGCCTGCCCTGGCTTCAGAGATAATCTGTAGTGCTCATGGGCATCATGGGGTAGGTGGTCCTCAATAATGGTGCTGCTTTCTTCGCCTTTACCCTCACAAGGGAGCAAGAAAATCCGCTGCAAATTTGATGGTGGGATCAATTTTCCCTGCAGAGAACTTTTCTTTCTAGAAACATCATCTTGATTTAAAAACTTGACTTTGATAGCGACAGGCTGAGTGGTTTTGCATGTAGAGAGCTGGAAATGAAGCCACCAACCTGGCATCACAAAAGCAATTGGGCAAGATGGTGGGAGAAGAGAATTACTCTTTCCCCAGGAGGAATTAAATGTGCTGCTTTTGAAGTGAGGAAGGACAGTGCTCTTTTCTGCATGTGGAGAAGAGCTGTTTCCCAAGTGATGTGCAGGAAAAGACACAAAAACTGGGTTAGCCCAAATAAAAGATTTACTTACCCAATCCAGGGATGCTCTGAAAATAAATGAGTGCAAGACTGGAAACTAACTCTAGGTGGGCAAAATTTAGCAGCTATCTATAATCTGATCCCAGGGTCAGGATCTGACACCAGCCATACAGGAAGGATGGGAAGAGTTTTATCCCCAGGTTTAGTCCCCCTCAGCAGGGCCTGCTGGATCATAAGTATTCCTGCATACCTGTTCCCCCCAAGCCTGAGTCATGATCCTAGAGCCAAATCATGGTCCCAGATCCAAGGATTGCCTTTGCTAGTTTTGGGCAGCTCCTGAACCCTGCTTGTAGCTGGGTCTTACCTTCCTGTAGTCACACTTTCTCCCAGGCCCCTGTCCTTCCTGATCCTTTGTATCCTTTGTATTCACCAGGCAACACTGCTACTTTTTTCCTTACCCATGGTGACCTCATGCTCAGTGAGGCATTTAGCAGAATCCTGGTGAAGGTTTGTTAGGATTCAGAGGGCCTAAAAAGATGATTTTCTCTTGTCTGTTTCCGATGGAAAAGACTGCAACTGCACCTGAGCCTTTGTGATCTGTAGCTTAAGCAAGTAGTAAATTTAGCAATTTAGTGCAGTGACTATGGCTCCACATTGGATCAGTTCAGCTCCTCTCCAGATAGGAGCATGGTTAGATACACAAGGCCATCCAAAAGACAAGGCATTGTTCTTGAGAGGGCTCTCCATAATAAGGAAGACAATAAAAGCTGTGACACTGGTTGCCCTGTAGACCACTTCCCATTTCAAATTGTTTTCTTTCTCTTCTTGGCTCTGAAGTGGTAACTTGCAGCATGCTGTAACAGTAGCTGCTACGGCATACCAAGGTGAGAGCAAGTGACCCTCCTCAAGCCCCAGAGCACTCAGTATTCAGTGCCATACAAAGGCAGTGACACTTTTAAACCTTTTGCCACGGTGCACTGCTGGCATTTGTAAGGGTAGGGTCACATAACCCGAGAGATACGAGTGTCCACAGGCTGCCTCGCAGCCCTGCTATGAAACAGCTCCGTTTCCTCCTGCAGCAGGGGTGGAAATTTCCAGGCATATTTCGATCCCTAGGAGCAAAGCTTGGCTGAGGCTCCTGAAGAAGGCAGTGTTCAGGATCTGGCCAGATGTGTGCAGCAGAGGAAACAGCACGGCAGGAAGGTGGCAGAGTTGCTCTGACTAACCGGAGGGTCACAGGCTTTCGCACCCTCCGACAGGAAAAACACTTATTTAATGGAAAGGAAGGTTAACATCTCGGTTTCTTGCAGGGCTGGGTGAAAGAACAGCCTTCGCCTGCTGCAGAAATCACGCGAGGCAATGCAGCAGCTTCCTCTCACACAGCCAGCAGCGACCCAAAGGGCAGGATGAGCCTAGAGAATATTGTCACACACCGGGGGGCCGGGGAAGCGCCTGCACCGCTGCCGCTGCTGCCTCCCCTCCGCGACCACCAGGAGCCGTACGGAGGTGGCGGGGCCGCTCTCTCTGGCCTTGCAGACAGGGCTAAGGGCTTGAACCGCCGACCGGGAGGCTCAGGACCGTTCCTGCCCTGGGGGAGTGGCCGGTGCCCTGCGGGCGAGGGTTTCCAGGCAGGCTAGGCCGGGCCCGGCCGGGTCGAGGCGGGGTATCCCGGCGCGGGGGGCGGTGCTGGCGGGGCCGGTTGTCTCCGCAAGCGGCGCGGGGCGGGCCCTGCCCGGGTCCCGCCCTTGGTGGGGCGGTTGCAGCATCGGCGGCTACGGCTACGGCTACGGCTACGTGCGCGGGGTGTCGCGGCGGGTCGTGCCGGTTCGGAGCTGCGGGGAGCTCTGAACCCGCCGCGGCGGTGGCGGCCGCGCCCATGGCGAGCAGCAGCGGCGGCGGCGGCAGGTAGGGTCGGGCGGGGCGGGGGCCCGCTCCCCCGGCCATGGCGCAGACGGAGCCCCCGAAGGCGGTGCAGCTGTGGCGCGACGCCGCCCTTCGCGCGCGGAAGCTGCGGGGCGGCCCCGGCGAGCCCGAGCCGGAGCCCGAGCCGGACGCGGGGCCGCCGGGGGGGCCGCCAGCTCCCCCCGCCGCCGCCGTGCCCCGCCGCCTGACCTCGGCGGCGGCCCTGGGGGAGCTGGAGGCTCTGAACCTGAGCGGGCGGGGGCTGGAGGAGCTGCCTGAGGAGGTGGGCGCCGCCCTGAGCGGGCTGCGGGTGCTGAGTTTGCGGCGTAACCAGCTGGGCCGCCTGCCCGCCGCCGCTCTCCGCCACCTGGGCCGCCTGGCCGAGCTCGACCTCAGCCACAACCGGCTGCGGGGCTTGGGGGACGGCGGGGCGCTGGCAGAGCTGCGGAGCCTGCGCAAGCTCAGCCTCAGCCACAACGAACTGGGCGCCGAGGGCCCGGGCCTGCCTCCCCGCCTCTCTGAGCTGGGCCGCCTCGAGGAACTTGACCTCAGCTTCAACCGCCTGCGCCGCCTGCCCGAGGGCCTAGGCCGCCTGCAGCACCTCCGCACCCTCGACGTCGACCACAACCTGCTGCCCTCCTTCCCCGCCCCGCTGCTGGAGCTGGCCGCCCTGGAGGAGCTCGACTGCTCTGGCAACCGCCACCTCGGGGCCCTGCCCGAGGGCATCGCTGCCCTCCGCCGCCTCAAGATTCTCTGGCTGAGTGGCACTGGCCTGGCGACCCTGCCCGAGGGCCTCTGCCAGCTGAGTGCCCTCGAGAGCCTCATGCTGGATGGCAACCGGCTGCAAGCGCTGCCCGCTGGCTTCGGCAACCTGCAGCGGCTCAAGATGCTGAACCTCTCCTCCAATCTGCTGGGGGAGTTCCCTGCTGCCATCTTGGCTCTCCCCAGCCTGGAGGAGCTCTACCTGAGCCGCAACCAGCTCACCCTGCTGCCTCCTGGTCTTTGTCAGCTCCACCAGCTCCGAACGCTCTGGCTGGACAATAACCGCATCCGCTACCTGCCTGACTCCATCGTGCTCCTCCACAGCCTGGAGGAGCTGGTCCTGCAAGGCAATCAGATTGCCATCCTCCCTGAGGGCTTCGGGCAGCTTTCCCGAGTCACCCTGTGGAAGATCAAAGACAACCCCCTCATCCAGCCCCCCTATGAGGTGTGCATGAAAGGCATCCCTTACATTGCAGCCTACCAGCAGGAGCTGGCCCACTCTCAGCCTGCCCTCAAACCCCGCCTCAAGCTGGTCCTTATGGGCCTAAAAGATGCAGGAAAGACCTTGCTGAGACGGTGCCTCATGGAGGAGGATGGGCCAAGGGAGGAAGTGGGAAGTCTGGAAGCAGGGAGCCCCCAGCTAAGGGGGTGTCCTGGACAGCAGGACAATGGAACATTGCCAGTTGGGTGTTGCCCCTTCCCGGAGCCTCAGGATGCTTCCTCAGCGGGGGTACCTGCCACACAGCAGCTGGAACATCTCCCCATTGAGCGACAGGACATCCCTTCTCACATGCCCGTTCACCGAGTGAAAGGGGAAATATCGTGCCCTGCACCATCACTGCCACCCACTGCCTCCCAGCCACCATCAGGACTGGGGCTGTCAGGAGGCAGCAAGGGCATTGAGGTGATGGACTGGACAGCAGATGCAGAGAGGGGCCTGACATTCATTGTGTATGAGCTGGCAGGGGACCCGAGCTATGATGTTATCCAGTCTTTCTTCCTGTCTCCCGGAGCCCTGTATGTGCTGGTGGTGAATTTGAGTGCCTACGTCCCTCAGCACTTTTACCCCTCTGTAGGCTATTTCTTACACTGGCTTGGTTCCAAGGTGCCCCATGCTGTGGTGTGTATGGTGGGAACCCATGCTGACCTCTGTGCGGAGCGGGAGTTGGAAGAGAAGTGCCTGGACATCCATCACCAGATCGCTCAGCAGGAGAAGAGGGATGCTGAGGGACTCCAGAGCTTGGTCCAGCAGGTGGATGAGGCTCTGGGACAGGACTTTGACCTGCGCTGCTCCAGCCCGCACGCTGCCTTTTATGGGGTCTCGGACAAGAACTTGCGGCGGAAGAAAGCCCAGTTTCAGTACCTGCTCACCCACCGCCCGCAGATCCTCTCTCCAGTGCTGCCTTTCAGCTGCCGGGACCGCTGCCAGGTACATCGCCTGCGGGACAAGCTCCTCTCGGTGGCTGAGCACCGAGATATCTTCCCAAACCTGCACCGCGTGTTGCCCAAATCTTGGCAAGTGTTGGAAGAGCTGCACTTCCAGCCACAAGCTCAGCAACTGTGGCTTAGCTGGTGGGACTCTGCCCGGTTGGGCTTGCAGGCAGGCCTGACAGAGGATCGACTCCAGAGTGCACTGTCCTACCTGCACGAGAGTGGGAAGCTGCTCTACTTTGAGGAGCACCTCACCTTGCGGGAGTATGTGTTCCACAACCTGCCACGGCTCATTGACATCCTCAACGTCTTCTGCCAGCGGGATGCTGCCGTGCTGCTCCAAAAACTGCTCAGCGACACCCAGATAGATGAACTGAGGGCTACTCAGCTCCATCATTACGTGGAGGGCTTCTTGCTGCATGGCCTCCTGCCTGCCCATGTTATCCGTCTCCTTCTTAAGCCCCACATCCAGAGCCGGGAGGATCTGCAGCTCATCCTGGAGCTGCTGGAGAAGATGGGGCTCTGTTACTGTGTCAACAAACCCAAATGCAAGCCCTTAAATGGGGCGGCCGCTTGGTACAAGTTTCCTTGCTACGTGAAAAACGAGGTGCCCCATGCAGAGGCTTGGATCAACGGCGCCAGTCTGAGTGGACAGTCCTTCGTGGTCGAGCAGCTGCAGATAGAATATAGCTTTCCATTCATTTTCCCACCCGGCTTGTTTGCACGCTACAGTGTCCAGATTAACAGCCACGTGGTTCAGCGGTCAGATGGCAAATACCAGATCTATGCCTACCGGGGAAAGGTGCCCGTGGTGGTGAGTTACCGGCCTGCCAGGGGAGCTCTGCAGCCAGATACTCTATCTATTGCTAGTCACGCATCCCTACCAAATATCTGGACAGCCTGGCAAGCTATTACCCCTTTAGTGGAAGAACTGAATGTCCTGCTCCAGGAATGGCCGGGCCTGTACTACACTGTGCACGTCCTCTGTTCAAAGTGCCTTAAAAGAGGGTCACCCAACCCACACACTTTTCCAGGTAAGGCACAGCCCAGCTTGCCTTCCAGCCTTCCTGGGGCTTTGTCCCTTGCAGAAGAAAGTCTTATCATGTTGGTCTTAGCTCTGTCTCTTTTCTTTTTCTCTTTTCGTTTTCTCTAACTCCCTTCCCTGGTGACTTGAGTCATGGGAGAAAATATTAGGGTAGCTCCAAGGAGACAGGCTTAAAATAACCCTATTCTGAGACCAGGGGGATGTTACATGCCATTTGTCCATGCCTTTTCTCTCTGCTTTTTGGGGTTTGGCCCTGGACATTCACAGTGCCATTGTTGAAAAGGCCCTTATCTGTCTTTCTCCTTGTTTTGATTCCTTTGAATAGCACTGTGTTTTTTTTTTTTTTTTTGTCCTAATTCCCTTTACCCTGCAGCTCCCCCATCTTTGGGGCTATTTGTAAACATAGATAGGGATGCTTAAAGGACTGCAAGTATCCCCTTCTTCCCCCTTCAGTCCTTCACCCCCAAAACCTGGCTTGTGCTGCTGTAGCCTCTCTGAATACAGAAAAGCTGCTCCTGGAAGACAATGGGTGTGTTGGTCTCCATAGGCCAGTATAAAATGCCTTTTCTCATATCTGAGTCCTGTCTCTTGCAGGAAGCTTTCCTCCCTCAAGAGAGAGCGATACTCCATGTTCTTTGTTTAAATGTCTCACCTAAAAGGGATTCCCAGACTACACCTTCTGGAGCTGTTCTTAAGAGCAGTTATTTTCCTTCCTCTGTTCCCTTCATCTAACAAAAAAAAGCATAGTCTCTGTCCTCTGGAGTGTGACTAGTCATCGTGCTTTTTAAAGCTTGATTTTACTGCTGGTGTTTTCCAGCAGCATCCAGTTTACTTTGTGTATATGCAGGTACTGCCTCCTAACAAGTAACCTCCCTGCACCCACTCTGGGTGTGTGGGGGCCATAGGAAATGTGCTCCATTGGGTAGGTCTGCATGGACTCAAAACACACGCTGGACTGCAAGCAGCTCTCTCGAAATTCACATTTTATTTACACACACACACATACACCTATGTTAGAAATACGTTGGAACGTTCTTTATTTATGGGTAGCTAGAGTGTGATTTGGATTAAAACAAGTACTGGTGCTGAATTGGTTCATAGGCAAATGTGAATTGTAAGATGTGTTTTGGGGGTTGGCTTTTTGTTTGTTTTATTGTTGCTGTTTTGGGGGGAGGGGATGTCCAGTTTGTTTGTTTTTTTTTTTTAATCTGAGAGTAAGGAGATGCTGTTTCCTCCTCAGCCTGAATCCTGGCTCCGTTTGTTGTGTCTCCCTCTAACTGTGCTAGCTTATGTAAGATCCAGTGGACTGGGGGGTGGTGAGCCCATGCTGCCTGAGTTACTGAATGGTATCCACATGCTGGGTCTTGCTGCTGACTTGGTGCTTGGAGTAATGTGATCTGCCGTCCAAAAAACCCTGTGAAAACTAAAAACCCCAAACCCACCACCATAAGAACCCCTACAAGAAACAGAAAAGCCCCACCAAAATTAACCAGGGCAGCACACTGTGTGCAGGTGTGATGGGTGGCTGCTGAAGGTTTAGGTTTGTGAATAATTCAGGCCTGCAGTTGTATATCTCCTTTTTTCTTTCTTTTTTTGGGGGGGGGGAAGGAGTGGGGGTTTAATGGGAGGAGCATGTGTATGTAAGTGTTTTGTGGCTGACCCTTCTTTTTCCCTGGTGAGCAGATGATGCTTTAAAAGTAAAATACAAATAGGATCTGGACTATGCAGGAGATTGGTATCTTTGCTGACCAGTGACAGGCAGAGGAAGCGTAAGGGGGACACTGAAATTGAAAGGCCTTTCCCTCGGAATTTGGCTGTGCTGCATGTATTTCCTCAGACATGGGAATGTATTGCTGTCACCTCGGAGCCAGGCTGGGTGTGCTGGGAAGCGGAGTCATAAGTAAGCAGTGTGTGGTTGGGCATGGAAGGAGCAGGGGCTCAGAACACCCCTGAGTGATGCTGTCTGTGAAAAGGGGGTGTCAGTGTTCCCAGCATTCTCCAGGGAAGAAGCCAGGCCTTGCTGCCAGGGACACAGGGCTTAATATCCCAAGTGGCCTTGCCTCAGAGCAGGGGATGATTTTCTTAACATGAATACTATGTGAGTCTAGCTGGGGAGAGAGTACGTTGAGAAGACAGACATATTTCAAAGGCAGATTTAATCTGTGGAAGTGCTGAAGAGTGACTAAAGGCTGCAATTTATCAAGAATCTTGCTTGTCCTCTTGGATGATGCTTAATTCTAGCCCAGCTATGACCTGGATTGTATGAAAAATGTGAACTGTGATTTGGCTTGGTTAAAATCTGCATTTAACCTAAAATATTCTTTGCTGTGTATCTGCTCTGAATAAAAGGCTGTTTAAAAGTCCCTAAATGGCAGTTGAGAAGCTGAAGATGTTTTTTTCCTCCTGATTTTGTTGATCAGGAGGTATGCATGTTTAAAGTCATGCTGGCAAGCTTGCTCTCATGCAAGTGAATTGTGCTTGGCATCACTTTTGACAGGGTGTAGGAAAGCGATGGGTCTAATGTTATGAAAATATGTAGTGAGGGAGATGTCTATGTTTCTTTTCAAGCTCTTCCAGCAGAAATCCCTGGCAATTACAACGCTGCTAATTCTTAAATAGGGCTGTGGTCTTTTTAGGACTGCCCTGAAGAACTGCTTTGCAGTGTGTTGACCTTAATAAGGGAAATATTTCTGTGGAGACACTGCCAGATTTGTGCTCAAAAATGGAAGTGCAGGGTGGCTGTGTGTCTGGCTGCACAATCTGTGTCATCATTCATGAAACCGATGGGGCATTCTTCGGTCATCCAAAATTTTCGTTAGAATCCCCTTCAAAGAGGGGGTTGGTTGCTGGTGAGTTAAGGATTAATCCTTGCTTTTCCTTTCCTTCCCTTTCTGTCCTGCATGCACACGCTCTGTAACTTCCATTGATGATACAGAAATTCTCTAAGAACAAGCTAGGGTGTATAGAAATGGTTAGTACGAATTGAGATTCTGAATTGAGTCTTCTGAGGGTTTATTGCAAACAGTGAATAAAAGGGATATAAAAATGCCTTGATAGGGTCCTTTTAAGGAAGTTTCTGTGTTTGAAATGGTTTTGTAGCTGGGTGAAGTAGTAACTGAATTGGCATCTGAGCTGGAATATGTGTGCTTTGAGGCTGGAGTAGCCTACTCAGCTGATAGGTAGTGTGTAGATTTTCTTTTTTTCTCATTTACATTTGTACTATATATGAATAAAAGTATCCCTGCTGGGCTAAGAAAGGCGTATTTGTGCTTGGAGATACCAGCAAGAATGGTTCACCACTCCAACATGATGAGACCTTGACTGCGTTGTTGCTGGCATTATGAAACACTGTGGTTTTGTATGTGATGTCCTTTTAGTGCCTGGACTGAAGGGCTTTTAGGTTATTCATGTCCCATAAACTATTAAGTGACTTGGGTCTGGAGGTGGAGGTGATTTGCCATCTGTCTGATAGTAGATGTGTGCTTTGTTTGGAAAAACGTGACTGGATTTTCCAAGCTTGCCTTCCTGTGCACCTGCTACTGCTCTGCTGCTGTCTCCTCTTGCCCTGTGCTAGGCTGAGGCTGGGCCACCCTGGGTTCTTCCAGGCTGGGGTCTGTACAAGGTGTCCTGATGTCCAACATGGAACACTTTTGGTTTTTGAGGCGGGGGGATTGTTTGACCAGTGGTTTTCCTTTATTCCTGCCTATGAAGTTGCCTGTATGAATGCAGACATAGGAAAGCTGGAGCTTGTGTCCACTGCGGAAAACTGGCAAAATGCTGGCACAGGCAAGACACGATGATCTGGGTTTTCACAGAATAAGGGTGTGACAACAGAGAGACAGCCATGGACAAAGGTACTGTATGTAAGCCCAGCAGCCCCTGCCTGAAAGGATGCTGCAAAGCTATTTGGGAAGCTTTGAGAGCATAAACTTCTTTGGTGGCCAGCATGGAGTCAGGAGATGGAAAGGCGGAAGATCCTGTGATGTGTCATGCTGTCAGGTTGGCCATGCAAGGTGAGACAGGAGTAGGTGGGACTGGTTTTGTCAGAAGGGCTCAGAAGTAGCTCCGAAATCTGAGCTGCCACTTGGTGAAAGGCTGGTGTCAGGTATCTAATTGTGCTTTGTAATTAAATTGCATGGAGCTGTTGGGGTTATTTTTCCACAATGGCAGTAGAGCAACACCTGCTTGTTACAGAGCCTGATGCTGGCGTTTGACAGCCTTTTATTTTCCTCATTTGAGGGTGGAGTCCTTTTCCCTGACTTTCAAAGTAGATGCTGCAGATGTTTTGAGGCTGTGGTCATGCTCTCCTGAAGGCTCTGGCTTCAGCAGAGTACTGTAGTGTAATCAGACAGTGGGGCAAGATTTCAGAACACTGTGAGGACTGGACAGGGATGATCTGGGTGGCAACATAAAGCTGAACAAGGCCCTGTGATTCAGGAGAACATACCAGTTGCTGGACTTGGGGAAGCTAGTGTGATTCTGTAGCTCTAGTGGTGATGATTTAGTTTACCAGCCAAAGCTGATTTCTGTGCTGTTGAAGTGACAACCTTGAGTGGTGTGACTTGCTGTACATGATATAGAAGCACAGTCTATTTACCACTAGGGAACTTTAGAGATTTTCCTTCACGTTAAGCTGTGTGTTATGTGGTAAGCACCTGAGGTCCTCTTGCTTGGTGCCTGTGGCTCCAATTTAAACAGCAGATTTGGGAAGAGGAAATAAACATTCTGTGATATTGGAGAGTGCAGAGAAATTACCAGAGGAAGAGTGTGGTGTGCAGTGTGAATGGCTGCTCTGGGGCTGTGTAAGGTGGGGTTTAGATGTGGGAGCCAGTCCTTGGCTGGAGTAGCCAGCACAGAGCTGGGCTCATGAGGGAAGATCTGGCCCAGGAAGACACAGGAACAAAGGGGTAAACTCAACTGTGGATGCTGGAAGAGAGGCTGAAGCTTTGTGTTGCCACCTTAAAGCTGTCCTGTTGCCTGCAGTTTCTG